TATTATGCCGAAATGATCCTGACTCCCAACTGTTCTGCCTGGCTGATCCTTACTTGATAGATCATGATGTAGACATTGGGATTAGTGAGGATCTAAACTATTCTTAGTCTCTAAGATCATTAGACTAAAACTCTGTAGTAATTATACTTAAGTCATGTCAAGGAATATCTGAAAATGTTAGACGAAGCTCTAGCAAGATCTCCAGACACCTATTTTATCAGGTGAGTGCATAGTACCTTTCATGAACATGATTTAATACAAGTATTAATTAAAATATTAAATATCTGATGGAAGTCGTATGTGAATTATGTGCTTATTTCCTGGATTATATGTTAGGATATATATTGTGCTATGTGCAAACCAGATATTGTTCTATTTGATGTTAGGATTAAATATAGAACATCATATAATAGTAGTAAAGGTAGCTTTGTTGAGAAGATGAAGGAATAATAGTACCTAGTGCTCTGTAGGGAATATAAATACACTAGATATAGGTTAATGCCACCCAAGAATAAAGTGGGTATTAAAAGTTGGTTATAGGCACTGTGATCTAGTCTAGGGATAAACTTAGACTTATGTAAGATACCCAGCTCAATTAAGTTTGATATTAGGTAGTCTCAGTATGAGAATGTGCGTAACCTAGGAACGGAGAGTAAAGTTTTGTTCCATGACACTATCAGGTGTTGATGTACAGTAGCTCCGTACGGGATGACCATAAATAGTGGGTCTCGATCAGTCAACTGTTAGCGGTATTTGTGGTCACCCCACAGAGTAGGTGACAACATTTGATCATTCTAGACGGTCTTGTGAATTACATTTCTAATGTAAGCTCATGACTCACAGACGTAGATGAATTGGAAAACCATATTCATCAAATACTATGACTGCCTATAAGCCCTTATGACTTACAACGGCAAGGAAGCCCCTAGCTTTGTAGTCAATGATTCATCAAGCGATATAAACTTCTCTCTGATAATCACTATTCAGGATCTGTGATGATCGATAGAAATGGATAGTCTAAGATCTGTGAGGATCAGTAGGAATGAATATGTAGGAATGGTTATTCTATGGTAACGGTTGGTTTACAGGTTTGATAATTATGGAATATTATCATCTCAATATCATGAGATTGAAATCCCTATGTATCTCACCAGGTTTCCCCAACCTGACCCACCCAGTTCATATGCATCACATGTATCAAGACTTAAGCCAATGGAACTTGATTAGGATGCTGAATTATTAGGAGACAACCTGCAATAGTATTCAGGACCATCAGGACTTTACGTTGTAACTTATGTATTTGTATTCATTATGACATCCTTAGGGTTTTAACATTTTGGAAACAAACATTTGTAATCAAAATGATCTTTTGTATTGGGATTTTCCGCAAATATAAATAAACGATGTTTAAAGCCTAAAGAAAAGTTTTGATTGGTTCTAAAAATTAGAGGATGTCACAAAAGTGCATCATAAATTCCACAAACATAGTCTCACCTTAGTTGTTCCTGATGGTTAAGAACATAATCAAGACGACTTTGTTCAAGGCAAGTGTAAGCATCAACCAAATATTGCTGAAATAATCTACATGAATTAAGTATTAGAGAATAGATACCATTATATGCATGAATTTGATAACTATAATACATATATACAGTTATACTTTTAGCAGTAGCACCCTTTTTGTTTGACAGTTTCAAACGCGGAGACCACCCATCCTCACCAAAAGGAAAAAACAATGGATATTGCAATGACATGTAACTGGCATGAAGTTTGCTAACTCGCTGAGGACGGCCAGATTTGGAGTGTACAACAATATCATACATATTACTTATAGTGTCATCTCCATAAATAATGCAACCAAGAGTCCCCGACAGACGCGATCCATATCTTCGGTCAGGAACATTATTAAATAGGCAAACCGTATATGAATCCACTTCCATTACAGTAGCAAATTTTTTTGCATTCTTGAAGGTCTGAACATACTCATTGTGAACTGTTAATGTCTTCATTAAAATGGCAACAATTCTCTCATCAAGAGGTGACTTCTTTGGCTTGTCAAAAGCATTCAACCTATTTGAAACGTAGTTATCAATATCAACTATGTATAACTGTAAAAATATGGGACCTTTATCATCTTGAGGACATAGAGAACCAATCCAATGACAAACCCAGATACCTTAAAAACATAAGGACCACGACCATCATTAATTTATTCATAAATAGTACCCCGAAATGATGTCATTGAAAACATATTATTATATGCTCTAATATTTTGGAGAAATGCAGGGTCGCCATATTAGCGAGGAAACAAAGTAGGAGTACGTAGTGGAAAAGGCAAACAACAACACCAGAATTACAAAAATGAGAGTAGCAACCATGATCAACATGTGACATCTTGACACATCTCTCTGCATACCAAAAGAATGCGCCACAAAAATCACAAATATAAGAACAATCTCCACAATCATCATAAGGAGGAAGAGGCTGGTCAACATCAGTGACACACAGACCTAAAAGGCGGCGAGATTTTCGTCATGTAGAAGATGTTGTTCCAATAGAGAATTCCCCAATTGCAAAGGCCCCAGTTTCAGATGCAAGACGCTAGTTGCCCCCGACGACCCATAAAGGATAACAACGAACAAAAAAACCGAAAAAATACATCCAATGCAGAACCCAAAAACAACACCCAGAAAGAAACACAACAACAGTTACGTAAGGAAGAGAAAGGAAAGAAAATCAACAATGTAAAAAGGAAAAACCTGGACAATCGTTAGCATGAGGGCAAAGAAGAAGACACATCAGTATGTGAAGAAAAGAGGGAAAAGTAATTTTACGAATAAGACCTAAACAAGGAATATATATATATATATATATATATATATATATATATATATATATATATATATATATATATATATATATATATATATATATAGGCTATGTGGCAGTAAACGGTATAAAGGAAGTGATGAGTATGCAAATCTAAAGCAGTGAAAGGTGAAGGCTATGAAACATCTAGGTTATAGAACCCAAAACAAACGTAAAAGGGAAGAATTTAAAAGAAGGCTCAGAAATGTCAAGGTAAAAGAAAAGTTAGGGTAAAGATGTCAACACCAAAAGGTTAATGTTGATAAAATTAGGCATGCTTTAATATTATATAGACAAAACTTCAAAAATGGTCCCTGTGGTTTAAAAAAATCTGAAGTTTGGTCCTTAATTTACAAAAACCTCATGGATCGTCCCTATGGTTTCAAAACTTTTAACATTTGGTCCTTCCGGCAAACTTCGTTACCATTTAGTCGTTAAGTCGGGGGCATTTTTGTCATTTCACTACACAGTGACCATTTATGAGATTTTTAATTACTTTTTTTAAAATAAATAAATAAATAATATTTAATATGCAAGGGGTCCCACCCCATCTCTCTCTTTCTCTCTCTCTCTCTCTCTCTCTCTCTCTTACCGGTGGGAGAAGCTCCATGGAGACTGGTTTTTCCAACCAAGAGGAGGCAGAAACCCTCCTCCTCTTCTCCTTTTTGCCATCGATTCCCTCACCAAAACACCCTCACCACATGTTATGATACTGCCGTTCCTCCCTCTCTTCACGTATCTACTACCGGAACATAAAAAAATCCAACGAGGAGGCTGTCGGAGCAGCCCCGCCACCTCCTACTGTCAACGTTCACAACCTTTGCTCCCTTGCATTTTTATCTCGTCGAACATCAACAACAACCAAACACCCTCTAATAGTTGTGTGTCACGATCTGCTTTGACATTCTATTCCTTCCCGTATTGCTGCCGATCGAACCATAAAAAGAAAGGAGAACGCCGGTGACAGCCTTCTGTCGGCGTCCCTCTTTGTTATCTGCTCAGAAATCCTGCGAAAATCCCCACACGCTGTCATGTGTTGTTACTGCTTCTTCTTCCTCGATCAGATGAGGATCGAAGGCCTTTCCCTTCACTGCCACTGTCGCCGGTAACGGCCTTCCGCCTCTGCGTCCCCTCCTTGTAATTTCCTAACCATCACAAAACTCCACTCCACCACCGGTGCCACCCAATCTGCTGCTGCATTTGTTTTTCTTTTCCCCCCGATCTGAAGATGAGGACTCTCACTGTTTCTATCACTTTGGCCAGATCAGCCCCTCATCTTTAATAAAGGAGCAAAACAATATTTGTGTTTGTTCATGTGTTCATATAAATCTAAAACAATGGTGTAATTGTTAAGAGAGAGAGAGAGAGAGAGAGAGAGATGGGGTGGGACCCCTTACATATTAAATATTATTTATTTATTTATTTAAAAAAAAGTAATTGAAAACCTCATAAATGGTCCTTGTGTAGTGAAATGACAAAAATGCCCCTGACTTAACGACTAAATGGTAACGGAGTTAGCCGGAAGGACCAAATGTTAAAAGTTTTGAAACCACAGGGATGATCTGTGAGGTTTTTTATTAAATTAAGGACCAAACTTCAGATTTTGTGAAACCACAGGGACCATTTTTGAAGTTTTGTCTATTATATATAATATCTTTCTAGAAATTCTTTGAAACCTCAACAAACCAAAATATCATCAAAAATTATCCAAAAGAACCTTGAAACAAAAATTATCCAACAAACATGGACTCCCTTGAATCCTTATAAAAGGTTGTATGTAAGTCATAATTTTAAGGGAAAATGACTTATGAAGGTAACTAACTATTTCGATTGTCCATATATAGGTAATGTTCTTTTTTTTGTTCTCATTAATGAAACCAACTTGTTATTTATGTTCACATATAGGTAATATGACCGGCTATCACCTGTTACCCGTTTTACCCGATTGCATCAATTTAACTCAGTTAAAGCGAAATACGTGGATTCTTACGTGGCCATTGCTCCCCTTTCTCATTTAATTAGGGTTCGACAAGTTCAATTTCACCAAAATCACCTCCCGATTTTTAGATTCGATTCATCAAATTGAAGATTAGAGTTTGGAGTTGAAGCTACGTGTTGAAGTCGACTGTAAGATGGCGTCCCAATCATCTACAGGTAAGTATTTAAATGTAGATGTTCCTTATAGTGGACTATTTGCCCCAAATCCGTTGAAATACTTAGACCCCGAAAAAATAACAGTGCGTGATGTCGATTTTGGAGGATTTACGTACAAAGAGTTTCTTTTGTGGCTTAGGAATTTAATCAATGGAAGTTGTGATAATGTGTACTACTGTAGTAGAAAGGAAACATTGGGTGAGGGTATTATAAGAATCGACAGTGATGCTGATTATTGGGAGTTTGTTGAAGCTACTTATACTCCTGAAGCTGAGCTGGATGTCTACATTGACCACCAAAATGATCCAATCCTTGATTGGGATGAAAATGAGGTGTTATCAGATGGTAATGGGTATGACTTGGATGACAACGAAGAAGAGGATGACAATGAAGAAGAGGATCACAAGGAAGAAGAGGATGGCAGTGATGAAGATGATAACTTGGATGATATTATGGCATATGAGCATGAAGTTGATGAAGAAGTCTATACCTTTAACAAAACTGTTGGTGACGATTTTTAAACAAACTTTCAGTTATTGGTAAGCTTAGTGATGATGATGAACCTAATGATGGAAAAGATGATAAGGTTGTATTCCCTGTCCATGATGAGAATCAAGAATGGGATAAGATGGTGCCAATTCTAGGTATGAAGTTTGCTAACCCAATGCAATTGAAGCTATGTCTAACCAATTATGCAGTGAAGAATGGGTATGCTTTGTGCAGGTTACTGGTGAAATGTTGTAAAGGTAAGAAGAACAAGAAGAATAAAGGTTGTCCCTTTAGGTTGTGGGCAACCTAGATGAGCAATGAAAGGTCATTCCAGATTAAATCTTTAATTGATAACCATAATTGCTCAAGAGTTTTCAAATTTGGGTCCATTGTTAGCTATAAATGGATAGGGAATCATTTCATGAATGAGATACTCCAGAAACCAAAGATGAGTGTGAGGAAATTGAAGGCTAAAGTTAGCAAGACATTTAATTTGATTGCAAGTGTGGGACAGTGCAGAAATTCTAGGAGGTATGCATTTAAGGATATAGAGGGTACTTTAAAGGAACACTATGCTAAAAATTGGAGCTATGGAGAAGAGCTAAGAAGGACTAACCCTAGATCAACAGTGAAGATGGATGTAGATGTCATGCCTGATGGAGCCATTTACTTCTCAAAGTTCTATGTATGTTTAAAGGGTGTGAAGGATGGATGGATTAAAGGTTGTAGAAGGGTAATTGGACTAGATGGCTGCTTCTTAAAAGGTGTTTGCAGAGGTCAGTTGCTTGATGTTGTAGGTAGGGATGCAAACAACCATATCTACCCTCTTGCTTGGGCTGTGGTTGCAGTGGAGAGTAAGGAAACATGGAAGTGGTTTGTTGACCTTCTCCTTGATGACATTGGAATTGGAAATGGACATGGGTTGACATTAATATCAAACCAACACAAAGTAATGATTTTATATGCTCTCTTTATTTAATACTTAATTTATATGAAGTTTATGTTTTGTTTGTAATGCTAACAGGGATTACTTGAGGCTGTCAAGGAAAGGGTGCCTGCAGCAGAGCATAGACAATGTGCCAGACACATATGTGCTAACTTCATGAAAAAATTCAAGGGTCAACAGTTCAGTAAACTTTTCTGGTATGTTGCTGCTTCTACTACCCAGGCTAAATTTGAGCAGCATATGAATGAAATCAAGAAGATAGAACCACTTGCCAATGATCATCTAATGGAGAAGGACCCTAAAACTTGGAGTAAAGCATTCTTTCAGACTGATAGGGCATGTGATGCATATGAAAATGGTGTATCTGAGAGTTTTAACTCAATCATTGGAGCTGCCAGGAAGAGACCTCTAATCACTATGTTAGAGGAAATTAGAATTTATGTGATGGAGAGACTTTGTAGACAAAAAAGTAAGGGAAGTGCTTGGGGAGACTTAAACATATGTCCTGCCATTAGACTGAAATTGTCCAAGATTAAGGAACTTCAAAGGTTAATGGTTGAATACCTTTTATATATATATATATATATATATATATATATATATATATATATATATATATATATATATATGTGTGTGTGTGTGACATTCAATTGTGTATACTTACATTTAAGTGTGTGTGGACAGATTTTGGAGAGTTGTACCATCTGGTTATCAACAATTTGAAGTGAGACTTTTGTATGATGCATATGCTGTAGACCTTGGTAAGAAGACATGTGGATGTAGAGGTTGGCAATTAACTGGTTACCCTTACGTGCATGCATTTGCTGCCATTTCAAACGTCAATAGGGATCCAGAGGACTATGTATCACCATGGTTGACCACAACAATGTTTTGTAATGCCTACATGTACACCATTAAGCCACTAAATGGTAGTGATATGTGGCCTAATGTGGATTACATCAATACATTGCCTCCCAAAAAGAGAAGGATGCCAGGAAGACCATCAACAAAAAGGAAAATGGATCAGATTGAGAGTGAACTAAAGGGCAATAAGCATACAGTCTCAAAAAGGGGTATTGTTATGAGATGCAGCATATGTAGAGAAATAGGGCATAATAAAGCAAAATGTCCTCAAAAACCAATTGGGGAATCATCTAATCCAAAGCCAAATGTCAAAAAATAAAAAAGCCAAAAAAGAAGGTATTTCTCCTCCTTTACCTTTTGATTACAATATAACAGCTTCTAATGCTAACATTTGAATTATTTCATAACAGTTAAAGTGAAGGTTGAATTGGTTCAAGAAGTTGATGTGGAAAGTGATAGTGACAGTGAAGTTCAAAGGGAGCCTGATAGTGAGGTGGAGTCTTATGAAGTTGATTTTGAAGAGGGTAATCATACATATGAAGATGTAGACCAACCTGAGGTTGAAGCTGAAGTTGAAGGACATGATGAAGTTGGAGGGGTTGAAGAACATGTTGAAGTTGAAGCACATGTTGAAGCACTTATTGAAGTTGAAGTTGAAGAAGGTGAATACCAGGCTGCAGTTGTAGATCAAGTTGAAGTTGAAGTTCAAGGACAGGGTGAAGGTCAAGAAGGTGAAGAACTTGTTGTACTTCAAGATCCAGTTGGACAAGATGACCAAGGACAGGCTGCAGTTCAAGATCCAGTGGAAGAGGAGCATATGCAAGAAGTACCAGCATTTCAAGTTCTACAGGGAAAGAGAAGAAGGAAACCTTCAGAAAGAATCACAAAATTTCAGATAAGAAAAAAGTGGGAGGGGAAACAGGGGAGTAGTGGTGAAAATCCAATGGAATTGGAATAGAATTTGACACTTTGTTATTTTTTGGCATCATTGAATAGGAATCTTTTGTCTAGTAATATGTGTAACTTTTGGACTTGTGTCTAGTCATATGTGTAAGTTTTGGAATCTTGTGTGTACCTTTTGGCAGTAATGCATGTGTAACTGTGTTAAATTCCAATGTTTTGTAAACAATGTTTCCTGGGAATCCAATGTTTCCTGGGAATCCAATGTTTGATTATATTACATTCCCATGTTTGATTATATTACATTCCAATGTTTCATTGTATACCATTCCAATGTTTAATTATTTTTCATTCTAATACATGTTACAAAAACATCAGAAGCAAAAACATGTAACAAAAGTTCCATCCATTCATTACATACATAAGCATACACAAAAACAGGTGGACTACATCATTCTAATACCAATCAAGTTTCATTCATGAACTACATCATTCAACCCTAATACATCATCAACTACAATCAAATCAACATTTTCACATACAATACAAATAACAAAATCAGTGCCACTTTGTGAGTAAACAACTTCCACTTGACTTTGTCCAATTCTTGTCTATTAACAAAATTGGTGTTGTTTTCTTGTTAGATCTTCATCCTACATATGCTGATTTCATTCTCCAAAGTGCAAATTTTCAAGGTTAGATTACAGCTTTCTTCTGGTTTCCTAGTGTAAGGCTTTCTTCCATCTGTCCTCCCTTCATCCTCATCCAGCCATTGCCAGAATTTACAGCTTGGACTTTTTCCATTCTTGAAGAAAAATTAAAAAAAATGTTAAATTAAAGGATGAAGAAGAAGAAAGGGTATTCAACAAGATGATGAAAAAGAAGAAAGTTGCAACATATTCAACAATACTGATTACCATCGAGTTTTGACAAACTCTAAATTTTCTTCCAGGGTTGTCAGGGGTTCTTGAAGTCTTCACACGAGATGGTAAGTTGCAATCACATGGATGATCAGCTTGAAATTCATCTTGTCGTTTTGAAGAATAAAATGAGGAAGAAGAAGCCATCGTCGATCTAGGGTTCAAAATCAGGGGTGTAATCGTATGAATTCTTATACTGTAAACGAAGAGAATATATGCACAATGTCACGTAGGTGCAACGTATTCAAGTCATGTGCCACGTGGCTGCCACATAAGCAAAAACAGGTGATAGCCGGTCATATTACCTAAATGTGAACATAAGTAACAAGTTGGTTTCATTAATGAGAACAAAAAAAAAGAACATTACCTATATATGGACAATCGAAATAGTTAGTTACCTTCATAAGTCATTTTCCCTAATTTTAAGGCATGTGTAACAAATATCTTTGTAAAAAGTGAAATCGAGTCATATCTTACGGTGTATTTTATAAAACCAAAGGAAACACTATAAATATTTCAGATGTATAAATAAGAAATTAACCATAAAAACTATAAAGACTTACTTTTTAAAATGCACGACGAGATGAAAGATGCAAGGTTGAATAGCAGAAAATATAGTTGGAGCCGAGGAAGAAGAACATCAACGATAATAGGAAGTTGGAAGATCAAATATTATAATTGAAAAAACACAAAGAAATGCAGCGGGAGTTGAAGAAGCAGAACGCATACATTAGTTTTAAGTATAATACAAGAAAGATGATAATATCATATTACTAATGGTTGTTTTAGCCATGATGATGATAATTTTTAGATTGTGTATTGTAATATTTATTTGGTTTATGAAAATACATGTGATGGCTTTGCTATATATATAGTTGATTATTGAAAAGTTTACAATCTTCATAAATAATAGCAGGACATATATATATATATATATATATATATATATATATATATATATATATATATATATATATATATATATATATAGGCTTAGGTTATTCTATTCAAAGTAATTATTGTGTTATTGTATGCATAAATGTGGGCCAATCAATTTTACTTATTTATTTGGTTTATGAAAATACATGTGATTGCTTTGCTATATATAGTTGATTATTGAAAAGTTTACAATCTTCATAAATGTGGGCCAATCAATTTTACTTATTTTAAGAAAGTGATTAATATATATTATTGAATTAAATATAATTGAAAAATATCATTTAAATTAATTACAATGGTATTTTAGTCGATTAATATAGATTTAATAAAGGAACATTGCATTTTTTAAGGAATCATAGATTCTATTAATTTTAAAAATCCGATTTTACGAATTATAATTCTTTTAATTCGGACATTCTGACAGAATATGTTTATGAGTATATTCAAAAATAAAAATATTCTT